GGTAGTAAATGCTAATGGTGAGGTTACTTATTAGTTTTTTGATGCCGAGGTGGAAAGCGGAAGTTGAGCCAAATTTTGCCCTTGCGGTCTAGATCTAAATTCAAATTCGCGAATGAAGGCACCGCTTGGCCAAAAAGATGGGCTCATTACTCTATCAAAGCAGTCTTCGGATATGTCTATTTTAAAAGAAGAAATGCTTCTTTCATACGAGAATCTGAACTTGCGTACATGCAACTCATTTGCTATCAGCCTGGAAGTTAAATACCCCTTCACATCATCGACAGTGGTATCTTTTGAAAACCTAGATATAAAGACCGATTTTTTGGAAGGGACAACGATTAAATCCCTCGGGACGGGGTTAACGCAATCGGAAACGGTTTCAGATGTGGTAGGGGGTTGCGGAACAGGGGGTTGCGGAACAGCTGTCAACTTTTTGGAAGGAGCAACGATGGCTTCGGATGTGGTAGGGGGTTGAGATGTAGTTGTGGAGTTTTTGGAAGGAGCAACGACTACTTGCATTGGAACGGTGTTGACGCAATCGGAGATGGCTTCAGATGTGGTGGAGGGTTGAGATGAAGCTGTTGAACAGGAATTTAGTGAGGCTCCAGTAGAAGAAGGACGTGGTTGGGGAGATTCAGTCCGCCGAGGAATCGGTGTGTTAAAGCTTATGAGTTCTTTGTTCATAGCTGGAGTCAAAAGTGGGCGGTTCTGCGGAAGATCCAGGTCCACAGTGATGGGATTCAACACAATATTTTCCACGCCTCTCCTACGTCTCTTAAGACCTTTTCCAGGAGAAGGAGAGGAGGAGGAAGTATCTAATAATTTAAATTCTTTGAATTCATCCTCATACTTCTTGAACTTCTCGTTGAGCAGTTTTAGCTCTTTGCATGAGGGCACTTATTGGTAATGTTTTAAATGTCGTCACATCTTTCAGGTTTTTAAATTAATTTTTGTTCAAGGTAAGTATGGCGTTAACATAACATATATTTCATTCAGTCTTTTAAGTTAAAACCGTTTTAAACAGTATAGTGGTTACAAACAATATACCTTTCAGTCTTTTAATTGTTTTGTTTCTTTTTAAGGTACATACAGTGGGCAAACAAATTATAGCCCCACTATATTTGACAAGTTTTAACATATTATTTTTTAATTTTGACTTTTTTATAAAACGGAATTTTTTACACGGGCTTTGTTAAAGAATTAACTATATTTTTATGAAAAATTTACTAAAATTTAAAAAAAAATGTTAAAACTTGTCAAATATGGTGCGACTATAATTTTTTCGACCACTGTAAATATGGCGTATTTATAAAACAAAAGTGAATTACAAGCAATATACTTCTTAGTCTTTTAAGTAATATGTTTCTTTTTAAGGTACTTAAGTATTGCCTATTTATAAAACAAAAGTTGTTACAAACAGTCTACTTTTTAGTATTTTAAATAATAGGGCTGTTCAGGATCTTGTCCATAGGATCTTGCATTTACATATTTCAGTGCATTTTCACAACGAAACATGCTCAATGTAAAAATTATAAAAATTGAATTTAGGAAATTTAAAAATTTAAATGACATCCAGTTTGATTTCAATTTTGCGAACTTAATATGTAATCTAATTTAATATGTAATCGAATTTAATATGCAATCTCACCGAAAATGCTTGCTACAATTTCATTGTTTCTAATCAAACACAATTGTACAATTTTTTATAAAAAAAATATCCAGGTTATTTATTTAAATGTCTCGTAACCGCGTAAGCCTCGTAAACTTGCATCGAAAACCACGCGTTTGGAATAATATCCTGAATATTTTCTTAAAAAAATGTACAATTGTGTTTGATTAGAAACAATGAAATTATAGCAAGCATTTTCTGTGAGATTGCATATTAAATTCGATTACATATTTAATTCGCAAAATCAAAATCAGATTTCATACTAAATTAGATTACATATAAAGTTCGCAAAATTGAATTCAAACTGGATGTCATTTAAATTTTTAAATTTCGTAAATTCAATTTTTATAATTTTTATATTGAGCATAGACGTATTGAAGTACGTCCATTTGAAAATCTAGGCGGCTCTCTTCTGGGACCTTCTCAAACACTTCGCCAATCGCACCCAAGAAATTGTTGTGTGTTTTTTTTTTGACTATCCACAAACTGACTTACTTCGTTGACTAGATCGTTAAAGGCGGCGTTCTCATCGTTTTTTTTCTTTTGTCTCTTAGCCGGCGTTGGGGCAGTGGTTTCTTGCTCTTCTATTATAATGTTCCCACTCTCGCCTATTTGGAATCCAAAGGAAGTATCCAGTATATCTGGTTCTTGTCCGAGAACTTCTGGCGTTTGGGAGACGATGTTTGTTGTTGTCCTTAAAATATGTACATATAAATTACAATTTAAAATATAAATACTTGTTGTACAAATGTAAAGTACACTTACTGTCTGGGCGTGACCGTGTCTTTCAAAAACAACATAGCTTCGTAATATGGCCAAGCTCGTCTAAACGACGCAGCACTTCCGCTAGGTTGTTGATCAACCTTCAATTCTATTCCATATCGGTCTCTTAACGATTTCCATCGCTTTCGGCAGTTTTCCTCTGTAAAGTAAAAATATAGTATTCGTCACAATTATTCGTCACAAATTTGTTATAATTTGGTTCGTCCTATTACAAAACTGCTATATGTTTGAAAAACTCTATACTAACCAGGATGTCCCACAGCAGCAGCTACATTTCGCCAAGCCAAATCTTTCTTCACCCGATCGCGGTAACTAAGCTGTCGTTTGTCCCACAAGCAGTTGTGTTTTTCAATCTCTGCTATAAGTTTTTCTTCGAACATCTTGCACTAAAGCTTCCGATATACCAACCAACACACAAGAATCGGATAATACAGCAGCCGGAACGATAAAAAAGTAAGGTATCTGTAAAAAATATTGTTGTTAGCAACAAATAATATTATTAATAACAAATAATTGTTTAATATAAACTCTTTTACCTCCAGTTGAATATTACGCCTTATAAACACGGGTGGAAGTGGCACAGGCAAATGAAACTTTATGAAAACCAACGAATCTGGTGGCCGGAACGATAAAAAGCAAGGTATCTGAAAAAAATAATGTTGTTAGCAACAAATAATTGTTTAATATAAACTCTTTTACCTCCAGTTGAATATTACGCCTTATAAACACGGGTGGAAGTGGCACAGGCAAATGAAACTTTATGAAAACCAATGAATCTGGTGGCCGGAACGATAAAAAGCAAGGTATCTGAAAAAATAATGTTGTTAGCAACAAATAATTGTTTAATATAAATTATTTTACCTAAAATTGATGAAGAACGCGATAAAAACTGCACACAAGCAAAATCGACGCGAAAAATTGAAATGTCAAGAGTTGTCAAAAGCCTACAGCGCGCTGTCAAATAGAGATTTCGGCTAATCGATACTTTAAAGCGCTTCAAGCAAGTGAAGTAAAGCTGCCACTAGGCCAACTTTCATACATTTTAGTAGATTTTAAAAATTGTTTGACAGTTCTCAAAGCCAAGCAAGCAAAGCAAGCGTGCATTGGGCCAATACCTTTAGGAGCGTTCCTTATCTCCCAGAAATAGTCAGAAAAAGTCCGAAG